TTTTCTAGCCAGCAATTCTTACCACTGATCAGAAAGGCCTCTCACACAGAGGCGAAGTATGAGATCACAAGCATAATCTACTCGTAATTTATATACTGTATAGTCTCTAGATGAAACATGTACTTGAAAGGTTATTAAACCGTCACCTCTGTTGTTAAATATAGTTAACTGTCTTTAATGATATATTAATAAATTCTTTTAAAAACATTTATTTAAAATAATGATTTTAATTTCATGGAAAAAAAGTTTCTTTAAAAATAAATGATCAAAAAATAATAAAATATTTTTTAAATATAAATTCATTCTTAACTCACATCAATAAATTTTCTTTAAAATATTATTTAAAAAAATTATGTAAATAATTTATTTGAGAAATAGAGAAAAATTAATTGTATTTTTATGTACTTTAATCCAAAAATTATTAACTGATTAAAATTTCATATTAGACTTCAAATAAATATATGTAAGCTCAATCTAGTATGGTGCTAAATAACTATGAATAAATGGCGGTTCAAAAGTTAGTTAACCGACATATGTTTTAACATTTTAAGAATGGTTAAAATTGATTTGGAACACTTGTATATTATTTATTATGCTATTGGAAGTGAATGAATTGCAAATAACAACAAACACCTGAATCACCTATTTTTAAAAATAATTTTTGAAAATATATCGTGGTTAACTGACTTATGGACCACCCTGTATTAGGCACTGTAAAAGCAAAGCTATTCAAATAATAAAACTATTAATACTCGTATTATAAGAAAGTTTGAATATAAGCGAAGAGCTATAAAATTACAGTTTAAAATATTTTAAAGTGCCAATTAAATTTGAAACACCTGCCAATTGATATTAAATAAAATAAATGTGTAGAAATATTATAATCGGTAAGTAGTAGACATAAGTATAAACTGATGTTGTTTAATTTGATGGCATTTAGCTAAATTATATTTATGTTACAAAAATAATATTAGAAATTTAATTTTTATAATACCGATTTTAATTTATTTTATCTTTTGCTCAAAAATATAATTTATAATTCCAACATATTCAAATAAATTTATTTTATACTCGTACATCGACCGGTATCATATAGCAATTATTATCTAGAAAAAAAAATTAAACTGTTCCATGTTACTATTATAATTTAAAAGAAAATGAATTTTTATAAATTATGAATAACTATTTATCCTTCTTAAGATAAGAAAAAGTTTCGGGAATGCTATAGAAATAGCATTCTTCTGATTTGTGTCTATAAAATTTTTTTTTATATTATTACAAAACTACTTATTTTCTGAGAACCATTGACATGATTCATCATATCAGTTAAAAACAACATAATTTAAAAGTGAATTCTGTACTTTTTATTTATTATTCAATTACATGGAGACGTAATTATTTGTTCGTTCAATATATTAATCCGTTATATGAGACACGAATTTTGATATTGAATTAACTAATTTACATAATATATTTTTCAAAACTTTTTAATAATAATATATATATATTGTTTGGAATAAATCCAGTTCTTCCACTATAGAAGTACATCTGACTTCTTTTTTTTCCCTTAGAAAAGTGATCGATTCGATTTCAGATCGGGATGACACTCCGTTTTCTTCTATTATTTCTCGTAATACCTGTTTCAGTTTCTTAAAAAGTTTTCGAAATACATTACTTTTTAATCTAAAATGTCCTAAAGTTTAAATTAGCACTTATTTTTCTTTCCAAACACATTTTATTTATTTATTTATTTGAATTCTTAACCTACAGTAAATAAGTAGACACGAAAAGAAAAAGTAAATAAACAAACATGTAGTATTGATATATAAATATTAAAAAAACAAATATGATTGAAACTAAAATATAAATGAATAATAAACTACCAAAATTCAATATCATACTAATGTTAAAAAAAATATCTAATATTGAATGAAATCTAAAAAAATTCAGTGTATTAGATTTCTTTCAAATTTTTTTTATTTTTATTTTTACTGTTTTTTGCTTTGACTGTAATCGATAGCATCACATTTTGAACTTATGATTAGAAATTTTATTTTAAGCTGTCATCCAACTTTTCCAAAAGATGACATTTTGAAGTGGAGAAGAAAATAACAATAAAAACAATACAATTGCAGCAACTTAATAAAATATTATATAGCAACAAAGAATCCCTGTTAGAAAACTGTTATTTATTATAATAAGAACACTATAAAATATATAGTTTACAAAAAATATTATTATATATAAGAACTATATCTTAATTAAATTGCATAACATTCCTACAAAAATTGCAAAACAATAATGATATTAAGCAGTTTATGCGATATTATCGCTATTGATTCGTATTAAATTTTATTTATATTATAGTTTATATATATTCACATATATGTAACGCATGTGAATATCATTGGTATCAGTTAGAAAATAGCTCGACATTAATTTTCATTGAACTGAAAAAAAAAATTGAATTTAGATTTACTGTATACTTTCTAACACAGTTAAATTTAACTTAATTTGGTCATCAATTTGTAATAAATGTAAATGATCGACTTTTTAAATAAACTAATGCACTGTGTTTATTTATTTATTACTAATAGAATATTATACTCAATCTCTGAACGTTAATATTTTAATAGAGAAAAGTAATAATTATTAATTATAAGTATAATTTCAAAGGTTAGTTTGTTAAAATTATGTTATTACCTAAAAATTTTATTCTTGATGTTAATTATTAATCTTTGAGGCTGGTGATTTTGTTCTTGCACTTGACGCTAACTGAGAAACTAGGGTATTTCTCTAAATTAACTAATCAAATTAATCAAAAGTGAATAATATTAACTAGAAATCATTATTCTGAGGAAATATTTGGAAGTAATAAGTATGCACCGTTTACCAATTAAATGTGGAAGACCTCCACTCAACCGAACCAAACAGGATTATTAATCTTTGATACTAGATATAAGCATAAACGCAGAAAAATTTATTGTAAAAATAAGTAAAAATTTAATGTAGAATATAAAAATTCTTTGGAATAATTTAAATCAACTTTATCACGATTTAGATTCCAATAATTCAAATTAGTCTTTATGATGATCAAGTAATTTGGATTAAGTTATAATTAATTTTCAGATAAAAGTCTTATGAATATTCTCATATTTTGTTCAGCATGACAGAAAAATAAAAATCGCATTGTATAAAATCAAAGAGGAAAAAAATAATACTTTATGAAAAAATATAATTCAAATGATTTTATATCATTTAATTGATTAAACTATAAATTTTATTTTAGTAAAAAATTAAAATTGCATAATCAATTTCATTTAAATGATAAATCTCCTAATCAAATCTCCTAAAATAAATTCAATATAAATTTAAAAAATATAAATTACGTTTAGAAACATTTACGATTAAATTAAATTAAAAACTAAGCTACAAATCAATTTACTTGAGACATTTATCTCTGATATTTTTTCTTCTCTTCTATCAAAGGAAGATAAAGAATAACAATGTAGTTTATTTCTTAGTTTTTATTTTACTAGCAATTTAGAAAAGATGAGAATTGATACATTAATATCCTGGCAGCAACATTTGTTTTATAAAAACAAAGAAAAGACAAAAGAAAGAATATAAAAATTTAACTTTTTAATTTAAAATATTAATATAATAATTAAATTAAGTATAATTACTAAAAATTTATGATGTATTAAGAAAATTAACAAAACGAATATGTTATCAAGTTAAATTATTTTCATTTATTATTGTTTTGTTTTGTATTTTTACACAAAAATGTAATTAAAACATTAAAATAAAATTTATAATTTCGATATTTATAATTAATTATTAAATAATATTAAATCATAACATAGAATGACATATTACAATTAATTTCTAATCTCTCTCTGTCTGAAATTAATTATATAAATAATAAATATTTATAAAAATTAGTATTTTTTTGCCTACAGTTTAATTTATTACATTAATTTCTATTAATAAATTATCATTTATTAGAATAATAAATAATTAATCAGAACTTATTTTATAACTGTATTAAGTAAAAAAATAATTAATTGATATGTTTAAAAAACTTAAAGTTTTTAATTAAAATATTCAAACTTAACATGAAGAAACTTTATACAAAGCAATTTAATGTCCTTAAAATACTTTATTCAATTTTATTATATTATCACTAATGATACTTTCCTTTTTTATCATTTTTCTTTTTAATGTTCTACCTTTTTTTATACTTATTTTTAAGTTTTCATTTACATGCCAGTTGACTTCTTTCATTGCCTATATAAATCTTTTATGAATTACAAAAGACATTCTTTTCTGTTATTATATGTTATTTTTTTGGAGGAAAATTATTTTTCCTGCAAGATATATTTTTTTCTACATCTTTATTCGTTATTTCATAAAAATTTTTAACATAATAGAATTGTATTTCAAAACTCAAAATAAAAAAAATATATATATCTTGTTTGTAGTTTTACTTAGGCTTTATCATTATCTATTTGAATTTTTTTTATATTTTATACACAGTTTTTTTTCTTTAAATTTCAAATGAATAACGTCATCAGGGAATATGTCATAAAATATTGAAGAAAAAACGAATAAAATGTTACTATTTAAAGAAAAACAAGCCTCATTCAGACGTATTATTTGAAAGACTTTTTTTTTTGTACATTGTCATTCGAAAAATAAAAATTTATCTGGTTATAACTGTCGTTGATATATTTATTAAATTTCAATAGTTATTCATTGAACATCATATTAAAAATTCAACGTATCTTCTAAGAAAAATGAAATAATAAGAACTGTTATAACTAATTTNAAAGATTTAATTTTCGTATTTAATCTTTTAATTTTAAACATTTTAATTTTTTTTTAAATAAAATTTTAAAAGTTAATATTTGTTGAGAAAATAAAAGCGGAGTTAGGAAATAGTGGGCTTTTTTATTGTTTACGAGTAAATAGTACAAATGTCACTGTTTGATGGGCAGGTAATGATGTCACCACATTTCTGACAGCGAACCAAAGGAAGGAAGGGAAGAGACAACAGTGTGAAGCTTCTGCTACGTCGGGGACCACTATAAATTCGCTCACCAGTTGAGCTGGTGCGTATTACATGACAACCAGAAGCCTTCAAGCAAAATAACAAGATACGTGGAGCATTCTTTCCCCACAAAACTTCGTCAACGTAGAGTTGGTGTCAATGACAATCTATGTTGTGTCCTTTGTGATCTTCCTTCTAATACTGTAAATTTATCGTTACATCATACTCTGTTATGTTTTATTTTTTCTCCTCCTCTTTCTGTTTTGCAATGCACCAGTACAACGATGACACTGATTCTACAAGAAAGAGTTCAGTTTAGTGAAATACTGCCTTACAAAGAAATAAGTCCAGTTCTGAAGCAGATAGAGTGTTTTCTACAGTTAGAACCGAAACATTCCCTATTTATAGAAGGGATTTTCCATTTTCAAAAGAAAATTTGTTATCTTAGGTAATGTTATGCTTTTTGATTTATTAAATCTATATTATATGGAATGAGCTTGCTTTAAAAAATCTCAATTTAGTCATAAAATTATGACAGAACTGTATTTGTCTTTATGTACAGTATTTGATGTATATGTATGTACATAAATTTGAAACAAAACAAAAAAAAAATGTCATGTGAAAGGTCATGAAAAATATTGAAAGTAGTAATTCCTGATTAAATAACGCTAATAATTACAATAATTAAAATAAATAAGTGCAAAAATTTCGATAGAAAATTTAATTCTAATTTAAAAATTAAAAAAAAAATGTTGAATGTAGAAATTGAAGTTTTATTTTCGAATTTTTTTATATATATATATATAAATGCTTATATATATTAAAAACATATATAAAATTTTCGGATGAAAATGTAAAACATTGACAATCAATTTAATTCTAAGAAATGATCAATGCTATACAAAAAAAAATAAAATAGTGTTATTAAAAAAAGAATGTACTTGATACAAAATAAGATGTAGCTGACTGTTTAAACATTTCTCTATTATTAATATAATAATATCATTACAAAAATTTAAGTATATTGTCAATTAAAGAAAGGAAAATTGTTATATTAATTAAGTTGTAGAATTCAAAAATTCGAGAAGAAATTAGTCAATATTGAAATTTGATATTAAGCAATAATAAAAATTATCATCAATTATTATCCGAAATTCTCTTTTTTAGGGAGTCTTCTTATATTTTATTATTTTTATATTTTTATATTACAGTGATTATATTCATAAAAATTAATATTTAAAATATTGTTTAGATTAAAAAAAAATTTGACTCCCATATATTTTGGAAAAGTTTAAAATTGTACATTAATTTTCTAAGTTGTAATTCTGAAACTTCTACTTTCTGAAGACATTATATTGCCTTATGATTTATTGTTCCAATATCATAGGGTTTTTAGTCCTCAACAACAGCAGTGCTAAGACATGTTTTCTAGCCAGCAATTCTTACCACTGATCAGAAAGGCCTCTCACACAGAGGCGAAGTATGAGATCACAAGCATAATCTACTCGTAATTTATATACTGTATAGTCTCTAGATGAAACATGTACTTGAAAGGTTATTAAACCGTCACCTCTGTTGTTAAATATAGTTAACTGTCTTTAATGATATATTAATAAATTCTTTTAAAAACATTTATTTAAAATAATGATTTTAATTTCATGGAAAAAAAGTTTCTTTAAAAATAAATGATCAAAAAATAATAAAATATTTTTTAAATATAAATTCATTCTTAACTCACATCAATAAATTTTCTTTAAAATATTATTTAAAAAAATTATGTAAATAATTTATTTGAGAAATAGAGAAAAATTAATTGTATTTTTATGTACTTTAATCCAAAAATTATTAACTGATTAAAATTTCATATTAGACTTCAAATAAATATATGTAAGCTCAATCTAGTATGGTGCTAAATAACTATGAATAAATGGCGGTTCAAAAGTTAGTTAACCGACATATGTTTTAACATTTTAAGAATGGTTAAAATTGATTTGGAACACTTGTATATTATTTATTATGCTATTGGAAGTGAATGAATTGCAAATAACAACAAACACCTGAATCACCTATTTTTAAAAATAATTTTTGAAAATATATCGTGGTTAACTGACTTATGGACCACCCTGTATTAGGCACTGTAAAAGCAAAGCTATTCAAATAATAAAACTATTAATACTCGTATTATAAGAAAGTTTGAATATAAGCGAAGAGCTATAAAATTACAGTTTAAAATATTTTAAAGTGCCAATTAAATTTGAAACACCTGCCAATTGATATTAAATAAAATAAATGTGTAGAAATATTATAATCGGTAAGTAGTAGACATAAGTATAAACTGATGTTGTTTAATTTGATGGCATTTAGCTAAATTATATTTATGTTACAAAAATAATATTAGAAATTTAATTTTTATAATACCGATTTTAATTTATTTTATCTTTTGCTCAAAAATATAATTTATAATTCCAACATATTCAAATAAATTTATTTTATACTCGTACATCGACCGGTATCATATAGCAATTATTATCTAGAAAAAAAAATTAAACTGTTCCATGTTACTATTATAATTTAAAAGAAAATGAATTTTTATAAATTATGAATAACTATTTATCCTTCTTAAGATAAGAAAAAGTTTCGGGAATGCTATAGAAATAGCATTCTTCTGATTTGTGTCTATAAAATTTTTTTTTATATTATTACAAAACTACTTATTTTCTGAGAACCATTGACATGATTCATCATATCAGTTAAAAACAACATAATTTAAAAGTGAATTCTGTACTTTTTATTTATTATTCAATTACATGGAGACGTAATTATTTGTTCGTTCAATATATTAATCCGTTATATGAGACACGAATTTTGATATTGAATTAACTAATTTACATAATATATTTTTCAAAACTTTTTAATAATAATATATATATATTGTTTGGAATAAATCCAGTTCTTCCACTATAGAAGTACATCTGACTTCTTTTTTTTCCCTTAGAAAAGTGATCGATTCGATTTCAGATCGGGATGACACTCCGTTTTCTTCTATTATTTCTCGTAATACCTGTTTCAGTTTCTTAAAAAGTTTTCGAAATACATTACTTTTTAATCTAAAATGTCCTAAAGTTTAAATTAGCACTTATTTTTCTTTCCAAACACATTTTATTTATTTATTTATTTGAATTCTTAACCTACAGTAAATAAGTAGACACGAAAAGAAAAAGTAAATAAACAAACATGTAGTATTGATATATAAATATTAAAAAAACAAATATGATTGAAACTAAAATATAAATGAATAATAAACTACCAAAATTCAATATCATACTAATGTTAAAAAAAATATCTAATATTGAATGAAATCTAAAAAAATTCAGTGTATTAGATTTCTTTCAAATTTTTTTTATTTTTATTTTTACTGTTTTTTGCTTTGACTGTAATCGATAGCATCACATTTTGAACTTATGATTAGAAATTTTATTTTAAGCTGTCATCCAACTTTTCCAAAAGATGACATTTTGAAGTGGAGAAGAAAATAACAATAAAAACAATACAATTGCAGCAACTTAATAAAATATTATATAGCAACAAAGAATCCCTGTTAGAAAACTGTTATTTATTATAATAAGAACACTATAAAATATATAGTTTACAAAAAATATTATTATATATAAGAACTATATCTTAATTAAATTGCATAACATTCCTACAAAAATTGCAAAACAATAATGATATTAAGCAGTTTATGCGATATTATCGCTATTGATTCGTATTAAATTTTATTTATATTATAGTTTATATATATTCACATATATGTAACGCATGTGAATATCATTGGTATCAGTTAGAAAATAGCTCGACATTAATTTTCATTGAACTGAAAAAAAAAATTGAATTTAGATTTACTGTATACTTTCTAACACAGTTAAATTTAACTTAATTTGGTCATCAATTTGTAATAAATGTAAATGATCGACTTTTTAAATAAACTAATGCACTGTGTTTATTTATTTATTACTAATAGAATATTATACTCAATCTCTGAACGTTAATATTTTAATAGAGAAAAGTAATAATTATTAATTATAAGTATAATTTCAAAGGTTAGTTTGTTAAAATTATGTTATTACCTAAAAATTTTATTCTTGATGTTAATTATTAATCTTTGAGGCTGGTGATTTTGTTCTTGCACTTGACGCTAACTGAGAAACTAGGGTATTTCTCTAAATTAACTAATCAAATTAATCAAAAGTGAATAATATTAACTAGAAATCATTATTCTGAGGAAATATTTGGAAGTAATAAGTATGCACCGTTTACCAATTAAATGTGGAAGACCTCCACTCAACCGAACCAAACAGGATTATTAATCTTTGATACTAGATATAAGCATAAACGCAGAAAAATTTATTGTAAAAATAAGTAAAAATTTAATGTAGAATATAAAAATTCTTTGGAATAATTTAAATCAACTTTATCACGATTTAGATTCCAATAATTCAAATTAGTCTTTATGATGATCAAGTAATTTGGATTAAGTTATAATTAATTTTCAGATAAAAGTCTTATGAATATTCTCATATTTTGTTCAGCATGACAGAAAAATAAAAATCGCATTGTATAAAATCAAAGAGGAAAAAAATAATACTTTATGAAAAAATATAATTCAAATGATTTTATATCATTTAATTGATTAAACTATAAATTTTATTTTAGTAAAAAATTAAAATTGCATAATCAATTTCATTTAAATGATAAATCTCCTAATCAAATCTCCTAAAATAAATTCAATATAAATTTAAAAAATATAAATTACGTTTAGAAACATTTACGATTAAATTAAATTAAAAACTAAGCTACAAATCAATTTACTTGAGACATTTATCTCTGATATTTTTTCTTCTCTTCTATCAAAGGAAGATAAAGAATAACAATGTAGTTTATTTCTTAGTTTTTATTTTACTAGCAATTTAGAAAAGATGAGAATTGATACATTAATATCCTGGCAGCAACATTTGTTTTATAAAAACAAAGAAAAGACAAAAGAAAGAATATAAAAATTTAACTTTTTAATTTAAAATATTAATATAATAATTAAATTAAGTATAATTACTAAAAATTTATGATGTATTAAGAAAATTAACAAAACGAATATGTTATCAAGTTAAATTATTTTCATTTATTATTGTTTTGTTTTGTATTTTTACACAAAAATGTAATTAAAACATTAAAATAAAATTTATAATTTCGATATTTATAATTAATTATTAAATAATATTAAATCATAACATAGAATGACATATTACAATTAATTTCTAATCTCTCTCTGTCTGAAATTAATTATATAAATAATAAATATTTATAAAAATTAGTATTTTTTTGCCTACAGTTTAATTTATTACATTAATTTCTATTAATAAATTATCATTTATTAGAATAATAAATAATTAATCAGAACTTATTTTATAACTGTATTAAGTAAAAAAATAATTAATTGATATGTTTAAAAAACTTAAAGTTTTTAATTAAAATATTCAAACTTAACATGAAGAAACTTTATACAAAGCAATTTAATGTCCTTAAAATACTTTATTCAATTTTATTATATTATCACTAATGATACTTTCCTTTTTATCATTTTTCTTTTTAATGTTCTACCTTTTTTTATACTTATTTTTAAGTTTTCATTTACATGCCA